AAGCAACGGATGGAAACTAATCAAGGAGAGAAGCAACCTAGAACTAAGGAGAAACTTCCTGACAGTTAGAACAATTAACCAGTGGAACAACCTGCCTCCAGAAGCGGTGAATGCTCCAACACTGGAAGTTTTTAAGAAGAGACTGGACAGCCATTTGTCCAAAATGGTATAGGGTTTCCTGCCTGAGCAGGGGGTTGGAAGGTCCCTTCCAACTTTATTATTGTTGTTGTTGTTGTTATTGTCATTGTTTCAACTTTCTTTGAACCAGATCAAGATTAGAGAAATAGCTTTTTTAATGTAGGTTAGCCATTGCATATTTTTTTTCCTGCAGAAAGAGGCTTGTTTCAGCGACAGCTATACTGAGCCTCAAATATTTATTATGGTCTGTCCTGTTCACCCAACTGCTTCAAATGAGCTGTCTTATTTTTTTCATGTATAAAAGCATTATGTAAAGAAATCCAGTCTGCTGCAGTGGGCATTGTTTCTCTGCTCTTCTAAATTTACAAGGAAAGTGAATTTGCTGTTGAAAAGGGTCTTGTCTTCTCCACAGTGCCGGACCTCCAAAGGGCAGAAGAGGGGCCGATGCTGGTGTGTGGATAAGAGAGGCCATCGGTTGGAAGGGCTGGAAGAGAGCCCCCTCTGCCTGCTTGCTAACAATGACTGAGGATGCAGAAAGAGCCGCGGCCACCGTGGTCCAGCAGCAGAATTCTTGACTGAGGGGACTCGTCTTGTTAGAACAGTCATGGAAAATTTTTTTGCTTGTAATTTATTGCACAGTTGTTGCCTTATTGGGATCCTGCCTTCCCTGGGATAACTTTGGAGCTCTTACAGTGTCTGATAATATTCTACAAAAGACTGGCCTGGCTGCTCAGAGAAACGGCAGACTGGGGTCTTCTAACTGCATGACCGAAGAGGGGTGTTGAATAAGCTACCAGTAGTTGCATTACAGCAATAATGCTGGCACTTGAACCAATTCTCTTATACCAGTAAAGATGCTTATACCAGTAAAGGAACAAGAATAGCCAGTTCCTGGAGGTGCAGTATGTATACTTGGGCTACCTTTTATAAAATGTGTAGGGAGACCAGGGATTTATCTTATACATGCTACCGAAGTAGATGTGTTTTGTGGAAAGGGTTTTAACAGCACAATTTCTGTACTCACTAAGGGCAGTGTAGAAGGAAGTAAAATTAAATGTGGCCAAGTTTTTAATGGTCAACATCTACAATTTAAGCAAGAAAAGTGAAAGCAGTGCAGATACTGGAAATGAGATGTATGGAAGTTTTAGCTGTAGCTTTAATGTTTTTCGCATTCTCCCTTCTGTTCTGTTTCATGGCTCTCCCCAGCATATTCTGTAAAAGAGTTCTCTGGATGACAGGAAAACTGAAGCTGCCTTCCATGCAGAAAAGCAGTGGATGATGGATTTGTCCCTATTTGCCAGAACGTGCTTTAATTTAATGTGTTTAAACAGATAGGTCTCTATTTCTATATGTTTTACTATACATTTGGTCTCAATAAATCTGATGATTACGCCATTTTAATGATTTGCGGATATTTTAAATACCCGATGCAAGGAAGCTAAAATTATTTCTTTCGGAGAGGGCTTTTTTAAACACCGTGTTGCTTTCAAAATTTAGTTTTCACTGGCAAGTGAAATTAATAGTTCTTTGTAACCGACAGATTGCTTACAAAACATGAATTATCTGGTTAATAATTGAGAGGTTTTATTTACTTCTAAATGGGCTCTTAAGAGGCTAGCAGTGTCAAGTGTTTTGCTGGGTAGAGATTTGAAAACAAAGCTAGTGCAGAAAGATGGAATGGAAAAACAAAGGCCCAAATTATGCAGCTGGTAAGAAGGGCAGATTGTCCAAATGGATGCTGTCTTACAGATCAGTACGATGGATATGGCTTCTTGTATGTAAACACAGCATTTGTTGCATCAGTCTCCTGGATGCTAGAAAATACAGCATTCATCTCACTAGCCATAGTCAGCACAAGCATTTGGATACGTCATTTGTGTGGGGGGGGGGGGAAATCTAGCCCATTTCATAGGATGAACATAACATTAAAAGCTTTATGGAGAAAATTACTGGAATATCGGACATAGTGTTGGGCAATAAATTAATATGCAATTGTAATGAATTGCAAAGCTTGCCTAAAGTGGAAAAATGACCTGGCTCGCATCTCTGCTTCTGACAGGGTTCATACATGTTAATCTATAGACCACGATTTATAAATCACAGTGGCTGTCACATTAGCAAACCAAACCACATTATAATGACCATGTAAACACCATTATCTTCAGTTCTCTCCCATCCTTTTTAGATAAGACTTTGCTCTTTCTTTGTTGCAGTTAAAGAAACTATATGCAATATATGACCATTTGATTCTTGTAGTATTACAACTCTGATGTCTGGTTTATATAGGAGTATCTGGACAGGCCTACATCCATGTTGAACTGAACCTATAATTTATGATCAAATTCAGTGATAGATGACACAGCATAGCAGCCTCTGAATCACAGGACATTTTACTGAAAGCAAGACTTTTATCCTTTAATATTTTAAATGTGAACTTTATGAATAATAACTGCTCAAGCATGAAACCTCTGAAATCAGACTGTTGGTGGTTAAAGATAAGTGAATCAGCCTTGCCTCTCTTTTCCATTTATTTCTTATTGCTTTTAAAATGACAGTAAAACAGAAAAAAAAAACCAACAGATAAAAATACATGCATTGTCAAAGAAAAGTTTTAAAAGTGAAAAAATGCAATAAAGGAAAAAATGATATATATCTTGCCCCTCTTGATTAAAAGCATACTGCATAGAAAGATACCTCGTTTGTAACTTTAAAAAGGTATTATAACACTTTATGTAGTCAACCAGTTCCAGCTAACAAAGAATTCTTATTTTAAGTTCACATTTATTGCTCAAGGAGTCCTTGGTGCCCTCTGAGCTTGCTTGTTTTCTTGCAGACATTTCATTACCCAAGCGAGGTAACATCATCAGTGATGTTATCTTTTGTTGTTGTTAGTTGCGAAGTCGTGTCCAACCCATTGCGACCCCATGGACAACATTCCTCCAGATCTTCCTGTCCTCTACCATCTTCTGGAGTCCATTTAAGTTCACGCCTAGTTTGGGTAATAAAATGTCTGCAAGAAAACAAGCAAGCTCAGAGAGCACAAAGGACTCACGTCAACCCTGAGCTACAAATAATTCTCCTTTATTACTAACATTTATTGCTTGCATCCTAGTAGCAACTATGAAAGGTGGACACAATTCCGGAACCAAATCAGTTGACAGTGCCTGTTCTAAGCTAAACATTTAAAAATTTAACAGCAATCTCAGATAGTCGGATAATCCTAAAAGCCAGACCACTCATCTTTATCATCCATAACTTCCTTTTGTGTTGGAATTAGAGAGGGGAGAAATGATGTGGCAGATTTGACCGTTAAGGACTGAAACCTACAAATCCTTTGGCTGCAGAGACATGAAGAGAGAACAATGCCATACAGAAGCTTTTTGAACACAGGAAGTTGGGGAAATGTTTCAGGCATTTCAAAGGGCTCATTTAATAGAGTTCAAACAAGAGACTTTTAAGCATGTAGAATGGTAGGTCAGTGGAAAGCAGGAACATGTGAACTAGAAACTACTGAATCAAGTTTCTCTCTCCTCCATTTGTCAAATTCATCTTACATAGGTGCTGTTCATCCCTCAGTTCTCTTATCAACCACAGCACCTCTCAATGAAATCAGTTGTAAAATTGAGTGAGTCGGTTAGGAAATACCTTCCTGAACCCTGACTAAGCTACATCAGCCAATAGCCCAAAAAGCACATAAGGTGACCACCCATTTTTTTTTCACTTTTGGAAACTCATTGCCAAGTTTACTGCACTGTTCAGATACTTACTCACCAGGACAACACAACAAACAGATGATAGAAATCTTTCAGTCAATGCGGTTAGGGTTGTTTGCAGATTATTATGCAAATTGCAGTACTAATGTCAGTAAGCGGGATTAGACCTCTTGACTTCCCAAGTGACACAACACAAAGTTCATTTTCTACTATACAAAAAAAAATACTTTATTAAAAAATTTCACAAGTCAAGTTAGAAAATACTAAAGTACTCTCCATTTATTCAGTCTAAAAATTCAGTTATGTCTGCATTAGCTTTGACCATTTGGGAAGATTTTATTGTATTCAAAACACCTTCATGGTTTATATCCCAAATTAAGTAAAGATGTACTGCATAAATTAAATCTTTTATCCTAGTTATTTCATAGTGGTTTCAGCATTTTACATATTTTACACATATTTTACACATTTTTCTTAACACTTCAAATGGACAGGAAAAATATAGTATGTCAGCTTTATTGTTTGATAGGTTTTCCCTGTCTTCTGGTTTTTGGAACCAACTCTGATCCTACCGATAGTTAAAATAATAGATCCTTGTGTAACCAAACTGAACTTGTGTAACCAAACCAAACTTTAGTGACTAAGAAGCTGACAGGGCCTGAAAATAGAAGAATGGATTATTAGAGCTCTTTCAATCCTGTTAAGAAGGATGGGGGGGCAGCAACAGAAACTTAAAAGCACAACTTCGTGACCAATTTATCAGTTAATAAATATTGGATGGCTATAAATACAAACATTTTGGGCAGGTACTGCATGGAAGCACCTACTATGAATTTATTGCGGTGTCCTCATCCAGATGCAATTGAATTTTCTCGCAGGATTACAGTATTATTGAGGACTTTCAGGGTAAAAACAAGGCGATTTAAATCTGAGCCATTGTGGGTTTGCTGAAGATCACAAAGTTTTGGATTCCCAAAAAGCAGTTTTGTAAAAAAAAAAATCCAGCATTTCAGATTGCTGTTTTTCCTTCAAACCACTCTGGAACCTCCACTCCAGCCATTCAGAAATTAATTCTTCAAATTGAAAGTGGCTCATATCCGGTAGTCAGTTTTACACAATCCCACCAAAAAGGCCACAAATAAGTTAAAACGGGACATCCTGTGAAGTCTACAGGAAGTATTTTAGTTGAAGCAACCCCCTTCTCAAGGTATATAATTAAAAATATTTCTATTCGTGCAATTACCATGTATAGGACGAAAGAACCTCCTTGGGAGACCTAGCGACTTACTGGCTCCCAGCAAGCTCACCACACATTCTGCAACAAGCAGTAGCCCCACACCTTCAGTGTACTCAACCCAGGAAACGACATTTAAGCCAACAAGTGAAAAGCATAGCCACTGGAGGAAGAGCAGCATGCTCTCAAAACTTTGTTGGCACCCTGGAAAATCAAAGGGCAGCAGCTATTGTTTCCCAGGATATATAGCTATCAAGTTCACCTGGACTTTCAAACCTTTCTTCAGGTAGCCTGTTTTTCTCAGGGCAAAATAATTTGTCATTTTTCACTGGCTTTCAGTAACGATTTACAAGCTCTCCATATTCCTCCTCCTTAGGCTACTCACAGCTAATAGCTGTAGGTTCTGACCAGCCTGTAGTTAAAGATATTTAGTCAAGGATATTGAGGCATATCCCGAGTATGTTACAGTTCGTGATTGTGTCATGGGTCTGGAATAGATGGCAGGGCTTTAGAGCCTTGTCCTCTCAGAGATTGTGAAACCTACGCCGTTACTAAGCAATGCTACACAGAAAAGGCTTTTCTATAGCAATCCTCAATTGTAACAGCAGACGGGCTCAATAAGGGGCCTCAGTCAATCCACTTGCATCAACAGTGGCCAGTTTTATCTTGAAAATTTAAGTGATTTTGGGGCCACGGTGTCTCTGTGCAATCCTCATCATCAAAACTGTTGTCATCTTCTTCATCTTCCTCTTCAAAGAGCTGATTCTCTAGAAAGGAACCCCCCAACCCATACTCCTGCTCATGGACAGAAACCTCATTGGGGACGACATGTGAGGCACCTTCTACGAAATCAGCAAATCTGGAAGGAAGAAAGAGAACAATGTAGGCAATGCTATAACTAACGAACCCTACAACTACTCTCTACAATAACCCTCTACAATTTTTACCTTGCAAGACAATTGAGGGGGGGAAATCTAACTGAATACAGCATCTACATACAAAAGATGGGTTTTTTCCCATGAAAGAAACCTAGATTCAGTTTTGAATTTGATTCCCTACACATCCCTTTTCATGGTCCTCCCACAAATATGGCTTTAAACTGAGTTTCTTAAAATTTTAAAGATTACAAAAAAAACCCCAACAACGCCACAGCACGTTATAGCTGACCCTTCCGTTCCGATGATCTTCATGGACAGTACCTTTTTGGAGTCTGGATGCGGGAGACTGCTTTCCACGCAGAGAACTCTGGACTTTGGCAGTACTCCCGCAATTGTCCCAAGGCTTTGCGTGTCTCTACCTCCCCCTGGATCCGATATTCTTCCTCGGTCAACAGGCGTGGTGGGGTGGGATTTTCTGGAGCTGTGAACAGCTTCCTGCTAGGACAGCAATGGCGTTAGTAGCACCTGTAAGTCAAACATTGAAATCTGGCCCTTTGCAATCATCTTCAAACCACTTAGGAGAGGGCACCTGATACACACTCTCTCAACACTGTACCCTATCATACGTTGGGCTCAGAGTTGAATGTTCTAGACCTAGGCCTTCTTGACAGGGATATTGTCCTCCCAGTTTTACTGAATTATTCTGTAACAACTTGTAGTCATATTACATCTTTCGCATAAATATCTAAGAAATGCTAAAACACTGTTCTATCTGTTTGTGATACTATTGAATTACTGTTCATCTTCAAGATGCCAAAGGCCTCTGATAAAGATGATCAGAACCGTGCTTTGAAATCAAGCCTCTTCTTGAGAATGTGGACTCATTGTTGCTCAGCAGCACTTACGAGAGTAGAATCTTCCATGATCTAATAAGTGTTCTTAGCTAGTCAGCCCTCATTTCTCCCCATGTTTAGCAAAAACTTTATGGTTTGAGGAATCTTAAATCAGTTGTTATCTCATTTTCCTGAAATATCTTACAAATGTATTTAGACAAAGCACTCAAGTGCAACACCCAGATATCTTAGCCACGTAATTATTTTACAAACCAGAAGACATAGATCAGGTGCCTGCCTCTCACCTCAACAACGAACCTTTAGAAGCAGATTCTTTTGCCAAATGTTTGCAAAAGCTACATAATCATACGAAGCCAGTGATTCAGTCTAAAGCAGTGTTTCTCAACTTTGGTTAAGTTTGAGAGGGGTGTGCTTCAACTCCCAGAATTCCCCAGCCAGCGCAGCTGGGAATTGAAGTCCACACCTGTTAAACTTGCTAAGGTTGAGACACACTGGTCTAAACACTGGAAGTATTGACCTGTTCCTATTCCAAATTCTGCTTCCCTCACAGCTCTATACCAGTGTTTCTCAACCTTGACAATTTTAAGGCATGTGGACTTCAACTCCCAGAATTCCACAGCCAGCAATGCTGGCTGTGGAATTCTGGGAGTTGAAGTCCACATGCCTTAAAATTGTCAAGGTTGAGAAACACTGCTCTATACCACAAGGCTGTATAAAAAAGAGAGGAGCCTTGGGGATTCCTCTGCTGGGCTGGCTAAGACTTTTATCACTTGGTTTATTCTTTTCAGAGAGTGGTCTTCTCACCAATAATTCTACCTCTTACCAGAAGAAATTTACATTATTTTCTACAGCTTCTAAAATTGCTTGTCATCCATGTGTCTCGTTTTATTTATTTATTTATTTATTTATTTATTTATTTATTTAGATTTATATCCCGCCCTTCTCCCAACGGGACTCAGGGCGGCTCACAACATATTTAAAAACATAGACATATTTACAACCCCCCACCAGATAAAACCAAATTAAACCAATATTTAAAGTTGTGCAGTTAAAATTATTCTTAAAAAACCCGATTTAAAATCCTCCCTAGGCCAGGCCCGCTTGCTGAAAAAGCCATGTCTTGAGGGTGCGGCGGAAAGTAAGGAGATCCGGAATCATCCGGATCTCGGGGGGTTTTGTCTCTTAGATAAAAATATACAGCAGGGATTACCTTGTTTTTAAAAAAAAATGGTCAGCAAAAGGTACTTCTCTTTATTCATTAATGCACTTCAGTTCTGAGCAAGTGCTTTCTACAAGTGTGCCCAGGTTGTGGTGAAGACACAAGAAAAAGGAAAGCTTTATAAGCCACCCAAAATCTCAACAGATAGATCATGAAATATGTTCAACACACTAAACGGTGCCTGAGATCACATAACATGGTAAGCCCAAACTAAACAAACAATAATTTCACCTTTAGAGGATTGAAAACATAGGCTGACCTCAGTGCTTCAGATATCACATAACTAATACTACCTTAAACAGTGCACTATAGAACCCCAAAATTAAAATAAAAGACTAGCTCTGAGACTTCAGTGTTCTTTCTTGAGATTTTGCAATTTCAGAGAGGGAATCATATAATGATGTCTGTCATCTGACATTATCCATACACTATAGAAACTAGAGAATTAGCCAGGAAAGAATAACATACTAAGACTTTCAACAACTGAAAATGTAAGTCACTCATTTCCGGAACACCATTATGCATATAAACATATTCACCCAGCCATACCCTACAAATGTCTTAATGGACCTATTATTTACATTGTGTTTTCTAGGTTGAGCCAAGCCAAAGTTTCCCATCCATCACCTGTAGATGGCATAGGCCCATATGACTGGGTACTCCAGGTTTTTAGTGCAGATTGCAATTACTATCAAGATGACGCCAATATATCGTATCTGAATGCTCATATAAAGGAGCAGCAAGCCGAAAGTCTGCAGACCCCAAGTGAGGAGATTTATGTTGCGTTCGTTCTCCAGAGGGCCATATTTGTAGCACACAGCAAAGCTTATACACCCTACGATGACCAGGTAGCCTGTGGAAGAAGAAAAAGAATTATTTTTAGTTGGATTTTCACGATCACCAGGAGTTACTCTTTCAGGATAATTCAGCTTGCCTAAGTCAGCCAGTAAGATACCGGTTATAAATATCAAATCTGTTCTAAATAATTTGGACATTAGCATACAGCCAAAACACTGAATAAATAAAATGCAAGAATTCATGCTTCTGACTCAGCATATTTTACAAAACATCAAACAAGTACAATCTGCAACATGCTGATCTAGAAGAAATGCATCACACTTTTTATCAATGGATAGAAGAAAACAAGAATTATAAAAATATTATGTCCACAGAAGACAAGATATGCTTCTTCCAATATGTGGTATTAGAACAGGCAGGAAAAAACCAGAAATGTTAGTAATTCATCAAACAGTCCCACTAAAGACCATCCAGATGTTTTACACAGATGTTCTATTCATTTTTTAATGCTGAATTTAATCAAGTTTTGAATCCTTTGCTTGATTGCAGTATTGTTTCATGTAAGCTGAGCTCTCCTTTATGGAAAGTGTTCATCACAAGCCTATTTATTGGCACACATGGCAACTTCTGAATTCATCATAGAAACAATCCCCCCTTTCATAAAACTTATTCCCGGCAGGATTGTTTTTCAGTCTCTTGAATTTTAGCAGATTGATTTAATAACTATAATATAAATCTTATTGCTGGTGATACATGACACAGGATGGGACTAGATTAGAAACTTTTTTCATTCTGTGACTTTTGTGGTTAAATGGGAGGCTTTTAAGGCATCTATTTGAGGTTGAATAATTGGTTATGCTTATGGAAAAAACAAAACTTAATAGATCATAATTTGGAAGATCACATTAAGGAAGTAAATTATACAACACTTTGGAAAATGGAATTATACAATGTTTTTATATCTGATAAAATGGAACTTCATGCTCTAGAAACCAATATTTATTGAATAAAATCAAGCAAGATGTCTGGGAGTAAGAAGAAAAATCTGTCTAGCTTCTGAATTAACCAGTGTCTATACTGTAGCATCATTTTTATTTTAAGGTTTCTCAGGACAAACCATATATGGACTTAAATTTGATAAACTTGACTCTCATACCTCTCGTTGGGAGAGGGAGATGATGAAGAAACTCCACTTGCTAGGTTTTACGGGGGATGCTCTGGGAGATTATGCTCTCAAGGATGCCCAGTTTAGGGTAGTCCAACGGCTTGTGGACATAGATTTGCAATATTTAAGAGCCAGAGCCAACAAAACCTGCTCCCCTTTGATCTTCAGCCATTTTAATAATTATGGATTGAGGATGGCTTCATATTTCTATACTCTAACCATCCCCAAGTATAGAAGAGTCTTTTCCCTGGCCCGTTTCAATGTCTTCCCCTCAGCACTACTCGATGGGCGATTTAAGAGGCTCCTGTTTAGTGAGCGACTATGCCCCTGTGATAAGGCCGAAGTTGAAACTGTGGAGCATGTCTTATCATACTGCCCTATGTATAACACAGGCAGAATTAAATTATTGTCTCTCCTTGGAATTGATCCCTCTGGTTCTAATGTTAGTAATTTGGTTTTATATTGTCTAGGGGATGGCTCCTCCTATATTACTTCTCAGGTTTCTAAATTTCTTTTAAGAGCTGTAACTATTAAAGGAGAACGCTGTAATTCCCTTTAGCCAAGGCTTCTGGTGTTAATTGTTTGTGATTATATTTTTCTTGTTTTCTTTTGTTGCACTTGCATTTTGGTCTGTGACCGCAAAATAAAAAAAAATATTATTAAGTTTGATAAACCAGCCTTTTAGAATATTTTAAACCTAAAGTCAAATGTTTCAGATGCTTAAATTATAGAGCATCTGGTCTAAATATGCCTTCCAAAGATTACCCATGACCATACTATTTATTTATCTGTGACACGATTTCTTCAGAAATTAACTGATACTATTACATTGATTTAAAGTGGTCAAACTGACTTTCCAACAGTAGGTTAAGATATGTACTGAGGTTTTGTTTCTATGCTGTTGGATAGTTATGCCTTTTTGAGTATTTTTTTCTAAATAAAGATGTCTTTGTTTAATTTTTTTCTTTTTTAATTAGAATGATTCTGTTAGTTGGTAAAGATTCCATTGATTCTGCAAGCTCTATTTTGTTTTTCTATTTATTTTTCGAATGGTTACATTGTAATTTTTATTATGTAATAAAAATGTTAATGTCATTAATAGAGAATAAGAATACTGACATTCCAAATCTAGCCTGTGTTTTGTATGACAAATAATGAGGAATGCATAACCAGCATGTAAATAATGTGTAACTAATATCATGTAAATAAAGTGTAAATAATGTCACAATTTCTTTCCAACCTCAACGTCTTACACTATCATGGATTCACAAACCTATGCAAGATTTGCTATCTCCTTCTATTTAATTCCAAATATACTACCATAGAAAGAATTTTTGTATTTTTCATAGGTAACTAGGAAATTTAATAACCTGCAAACTTTGTTTACGCAAACTAATGAGAATATTTGGATCATTTTAGAAAGTAGTTACTTAAGCATTGCTTAAGAAAATCAACTGCGTAGATTAGCTCAGAAAAATTGCAAAATGACCTCAGCATCATAAACAGAACGCCACCATCTACTCACCAAGTAGATATTCCCAGTATAATGTACATATTTCCTGAAGATTTCTGAAGGCCAACTGGGTAAGGTAAATAGAAAAAGACCAGCCGCCCAAAATCATGAGATAGATAGGGCTCTTCTAGAACAGAAATAATAAAATGTTACAGATCAGAGAAAGTTTCTTTAGCATTCTTGACAGTTTTTCTATCTGCAGTATTCCAATGGCTTCACGTACTGCACTGATTGGCTGGCTCTTTCAGTCATGAACAGTTCCATTTAGTAATCATAACAGATGTTTTTCTGGGTGAAGTTTTTAAGTATACTCTGATTTGGAATACTTGGATGTCTCAAAACCCACCTCAAAATGTATCAAGTAGCAACTATATAATGTTAACAAATGTGCAGATCTGGGAAAGTGGGAAAACAAATGGACATCACCTAAGATGGGCCTACTTGGCACAAGTATATCATGTTCTGATTTTGATACTCAAATCTTTGCTTATAGACATTTTTTTTTAATATGAGCAGGGGATTTAAGCTGATCATTCTCAGGTTTACCAAAGGCTCATTCTCCATGCTTTTTTCTTTGACTCTGTTTCTTTATAGAATGATATTGTGTTATACTGGGATCCCTTTCATCCACTGAGGTCACTTGCACAATAGGAGAAGAGAATACAAGCCTTTATCACACTCCTTTCCTTTGCCCATTCAAAACAAACCAAACATTTTATGCAACTGTAAATGGAAAATTGGAAAGGTCATCCTAGTTAAGAGATTCACAGACCTTCTTACACTAGCAAAATAAATTAGCGCAAAGTTAAAAATAAAAAAAAATGAAGATGTACAGCTAGTGCATTATGATCCTGCTTCCTTCTAATATTTGTGCATCCAAGGCTGTTTTTCCTGTTGCTTTTAAGCAAAGTCTGCTACATTATTCATAAATGAGTCCTTTTGATCTAAATCAGACAACTGAATTTTTGCTTTTCTCCTTACAGATCTTTTCTTAAAAGAGATCTGATAAATCTAAGGAAGCTTTTATCAAGGGCATGTGACTATGGGCCAAATAGATAGAGATCGCATTTATGTGAAAAATGGAAGAATCTACCCTCTAATAATGTAGACCATGGGTGTCAAACTCGCCGCGTCACGTGACGTGACATATTGCAACTTTTTTTTTGCATTGCCAGAGCTGGGGTTGGTGCGGCCTCCGTATGATGCAACCGGCCCGTGGACCGGCAGTTTGACACCCCTGATGTAGACAGAAAAGCATTATAATGGGCCAAAGCAAATGCTCTTCTGTAGCCCAATACAGTCCTCTTGAGGCCAGTATGGATGTAGCTGGAATATAAGTTTTCTTTGTGTTAAATAATGGCAAAAATATTCTGGAAATTCTGTATCTCTATATTTTTAATTCTGTCTGTTTCTAGATAAATTAGAAAATCAGGCAAGGAACTGCCATTATTACAATTATGTAACATTTTTCTCCACTGAATCAATCAGGATTAGGGATGCTAAGAAGTCTGAAGAAATATTACACATATTTGTCCAATAATTAAGATGCAAAACCGTATCCTTTCTCATAATTAAAAGCTTAGATATTCCTGGAAAACACATCAGGGCACTTAACAATTTATTATTTATTATCTCCAATGGACCAAAATCAATACCTGTATATCAGTGTTTTTCAAGTTTGGGAATGTTAAATGTGTGAACTTCAACTTCCAGAATTCCTCAGCCAGCATGGGGAATTCTGGGAGTCGAAGTTCACATACCTTAAAGTTCCCAAGGTTGAAAAATATTGATGCATATGAAAAAAATGAAGCTCCATAAAGCACTTCAGCTATAACCTAAACCTCAAAACACATAACATAGTTGGAATCAAAACTTCCACACTCCACCCAGTTCTAAAAAATTTGAACACAGCTTTTGAATTTGTGTTCCAGGACCCCACTATAATGAATAAGATTCTAGATATTTAGAGTTCTTTACTTGTTCAATTTGGCGCCTATTTAGTTGCTGATAATGCTATATTTGTAAATTTCTTTCAGAAAATTTTAGTAGTTTTCCAATAAAGTCCCTTCTTATAATAACCAAGGGTAAAGGAAAAGTATAGCACTATCATCATATCATATAATTACTATTATCCAATCTGCCAAATTAGATGTCATAAGGACCTGCACCACATTATGGGTAGTAAAATTGTGAAGAAATTGTTTTCTATAACCTAACTAGGTCGGTAAAATTTCCTGCACGTTTCCAAGCTCACTTAAACATTATAAACGAGGCGGGCAGAAAATAAAATAAAACACAACATAACAATAAAAAGGGGGGAGGGATTCAAAAGGGGAAAAAGTGAAAAAAAAGGGGGGGGAAGATGGATAAAAAAGGGGGGGTGTCTGATTTTCCTCAGTACAGATACAAATATACAATAAGGTAATCCCTTACCCTCCATACCTGTTAGAGTACCACACCCAAAAATACCGAGCAGAAAGGCCTTTAGCCAGTTCAGAATATTTATTTTTCAGAATGTTGCCAAAACCTCTACCGGCAATACAGTTAAGTTTTCATATTTTTAACCCACCTTGGGTACAAATCTGGATAGTACGTAGATAACAATGAGCAATGAACTCAGTACGCCAATGCTTATTCCAGTTGAATAGAAGAAGATTGAACTTCTGCAAAGAGAAAGAATATTTCAGACGCTGTGCATGAAAATCTACACATGGCACAAGTTCAACAGTAACTCTAGAAATTCTAGGTTTTGGACTGGTAGCCATAAAAAAAAAGAAAAGAAATGACAGCAAGGACTGACAGGTAGACAAATAGAAAATGAATTATAGCAGCAAGAAGAAAAGTGAACAGTATTCCAATAACTAAGAGCCATAAAGCTTCCCCCAAAGGGACAGACTTTAGCTGCCAAATTACATAGTAGTAGTAGTGGAAGTCTTGCAAGTTTTGGAAATAATGACGCACAAGCATTGAGACTTCACAAATGTCTCTCTTCACTACTCAAAAAAAGAACAGAGGATAAAAATATTCTGTTACATGGAAGCCCCTGGAAAAAACAAGATTTGATATTTCCCAAGTAGTCTGTAGTAAAAAGAGTCAGATTAACACAATCACAAGCTGAAGCAGAGATAGGCATTTACTAGATTATATGGCTACCAGTTGTGAGCTGACAAATGTTATGAACTGGATTTTTACTTACCTACTCATCAAATCACCACAGAAAAACAGCAGCAGGCCCAGAAATGTAACAATGAAGAGTTTGGGATCAAGTGCTACAAAAAATAAAATTATTATTTTATTAATCAGCTGGCTGAGCTACTCAGAATATAATGGCAAATATATGTAAAAAGTAAAAATATCTTCCCATCAACATGTGTTTCTGCTGCATACAGGTTTTTGATAAAGCGACTGTCAAAATGAAAAGATAGAGGACTATTAAGAATCATTGCTGTAAAGTCTTTAAAAAGGCAAACAGTATTTTCTTTTAAAATCATTCTTTTCATCATTCATATTTTTTGCAAGAATCAACTGATCTGAAAAATGCAGACTGCATAATAAAACCAATTCACACACTTTACATTTTGTACCTCAGAACATCTTATACATATTCAAACATAGCTCAGCAATTGTGAACAATTGTGTTTCAAAATGAACAGATATTATATATACAAAATGAGCATGTCCGTGTATGAGATGTTCCTCTTTTTTACCTCTGCAGACTTAAACCTATTAGACTTGTCCTTATGGTAGTAAATGCTGCCTTGAAGCTTCATAATGTAACATATATACATAAAAAGCCAGTGATCATTCTGAATGTATTCAATTCTCCTTGCTTATTCAGGATAATTCCATCCTTCAGACACAAATAGGAAATAAAATATGTATGAAAAAAATAAAGGTATTCCCAGAACCCAAGCAGCACATTCAGGAAACACATCATCTAATTTTACAGGATCACAGAACTGTGGAATTGGAAGAGATCAAAAGGATAATCTAGTCCAGGGGGTGTCAAACTCGCAATGTCACGTGACGTGTTGTGACTTTTTTTCCATTGCCGGCAATGGGGTGGGCGCACTTCAGTATAATACATCTGGCCTGCGGGCCAGCAGTCCATTTTTCTGTGAAGGAGACCATCCTTGAAAAATGGATGTCCAGCCTCTTCCAAACCTCCAAAGATGGAGAACTCCCAGATAGACTATTTCATTTTGGAGAGGGGGAGGAACCGAGTTAGCCATGTTTCTGGCAACTGCCTTTAATAGTCTTTGCAGTTTCCTTGGCAAGATTTGCAGAAGTGGCTTACCATAATCTGCTTCCTAGGGCTGAGAGCGTGAGTGACTCAATGTCACCAGCTGGTTTTGTGTCTAGGACAGGACTAGAAATCATGATCTCCTGGTTTCTACCCTGGTGGCTTAACCATTACATGTAAATGGCCCTTGTATAGGGTTTGGCATTAGAACATTTTCTTTAATTTAGGTAGTTGTGTGAGCATGCCAGGTAGTGCATCAGGTGTTCGTATTTATAACAGATTGTCAAGTGCCCTATGATAATGTGATTGCCATTTGCAATCTTTTGTGCTGTTTCCTCAAAAAGTCAACAGGGAAGCCAACAGGAAAAGTTGCAAGCAGAGGGGACATTGGACTTGAGGTCTGTTCTCCCAGTGTGCTGAAAGATTTCCCCTCTCTGCCATGCAGGAAAGGGAAATCATCCAGTGCAGTGGAGGGATGGACCTCAGATCTGATGAAAACACTAGTAGATTCCAGTGTTTTGAACCTTCTAAACTGATAGAGCCTGCAATAGTTCAACTAAGTGGAGCAGGGAAAGGATCCAGGCCTCCCGAGTATAATGACACGCATGTTCACTTTATGTCCACAACTGGGAGAGCCGAGATTGTGGTTGTTGAGCAAGGTGGTGACATGGTAATTTACTTAACATTTGCTTCACTCAACGACAGAGATTCTGGGCCCAATTGCAGTCGCAAGTGGTGAAATACTTGTATTAGAGTAAGTAAGATAAAAGAAAACTTACTTCGAGTAACGCTGATGGTGTATGTGGAGTCTGGGTCTAATATCTCGACTTTCAAGCATGTTTCTTTACTGAAAATGTCAACATTAATGTAAGTATCATTAAGCTTCTCTTTGAAGAGCAAGCCAATATACATCCATAAACTAAATCCATCCAGTTCTTTCAGTTTCTCCTCACTTTCAACTTGGATGACGCGGATCACCTTGGTGCTGTTTACTCGGATCTGGATGGGAAAAAAAGGGATGGCAAAAAGAAGGACATTCCATAATTAATGCAGAGATTTCATAATATTATTTAACAGTTAGTTGAATTAGCCAGCATTACTTTTAACAAGTTGTGTAACACTGTCCTTACAAAATACACAACAACTAGCTTCAGGGGGAAATGCTAAAGAACTTAACAGGCTTTTGAAAAACTGCCAAAGGAAATCTGAAAAAACTTAGCATCTTGAACAGGCAGCTTATTTATGGAGAAAAAGCTATTTAATCTAGTGATGGGAAAGAGAGACTAATATTAAATCTCATTGTGAAACCAACTGAGAAATACAACTAACATCCAAAAAAGGCCTTGTGGGGGAGGAACTCTGATCCTTATCTAGTAGAATCCACTGACTCAATTCCATTTCCAACCTTGAATTCTGAAATAGGTTAAAATATAGCCTGTATGGATAAACAACTACAATATGCTACTGCAACATTACTAAGTTACAGAATATAATCTTGTTCTTGACTGTCCCTGATCATCTTCTTCAAAGCTTATTTGAATGGAATATAATTCTGTAACTGTGAGATATTTTTGGACCAAAGTTTTTCCTAGATGTGTATAAAACTAACTGCATCTAATGGAATAGCTTGAAAAGACAAAACAGCAGGACTATTCTTGTTACACAATATACACAGCAAGTTGGATCCTTAGCAATTTACTATACAAGCCCCAAATTTATAATTTCCTTTCATCTTCTACATGCTCCAAAGTAGAAACTGACTGGGTGTTTTTGGGCCAGTCACACACTCTCTCTCTCAGTCCAATACATCTCACAGGGTTGTTGTGGGGAAAATAGGAAGAGGTTTGCTATGTTCACCATCTTGAGTTGTGTATGAAAAAATAAAAGGTGGATAAAAATTAAAAAACAAAGATGCTAGGAAACTAAAAATAACCAGGGTTTTAATGAAATCTAAATTGGAGTCACATAGGATATATTTACAGATCTATGGTTATTCACTTTAAGACATGAAAATTAGCTAAGATTCACCTCAGTTGCAAAAAAAGTAATCTAATTCTTACCTGAATTTTGGTCCATATATCATGCCATTTTGGGATCATTTTATTTGAATAGCAAAACTGTTCAGAGGAATCATGTAGATATGTTTGATGTTCTCTAAGTAACACTACATCTCCATCTACAGGAATCCACACAAAGAAGAAAACAGATATATTAGTAAAATGAAGAAATGCCTTTGGTATTAAGACAATGAGACCGATTTATACAAAATGAGGATCAGAATAGTCATATCTAGTAAAATTCCAATATGCCTTTTTTTCCTATTTTTTACAATTAGAACCCCCTGAAATTTATTTTATGAGTTTGAGGCAGCATACTTTACATAGCACTCCTTTGATTCCCCTCTCCCTCCACATATATACTAAGACAGTTTTGCATAATAGTAAGGGCAAGTAGTCATGCAAAAGGCTAGGTGATCACAATCCATTTTGCTGGTATCAAATCGCAGAGCGCACAAAAAGAAATCTGACTTAAGTCTCAATCTGAACATATTTAGATTTTTTAAAAGATTAATAAACCATTTACCCTTGTCAGTGACATCAACAACCATAAAACAGCCATTATAAATTTTATAAATAAATTATAAACCCACTAAAATAAGCATTAGCTACATTGCCCCCCATATGATATGTATGAGGAGTAAGCTAATAAGCAGATGTAAATATTTGTCTTATCTTTGGACGGTGTGGATAACAGTAACAACGGATGCCACAACTCACAGGAAAACAGGATATGCTACAGAGTATCAATTCTGCCCAATAATCCATTTGAAGTTTTTTTCTGAGTATTCTAAACAATAGCCCATATTGTCTTGTCATACTACTGTGATCTTCCTTCCTTCCTTCCTTCCAAATCCATTTTTACCAAGAAACCTGATGCCCACTTAACTTTAACACTTCTATCATAATCCAAGCAATCACGCCCCTCAAATCACTTTACAGACATAAATTGAGGAAAATTAATATTCGGTATAGCCCAGGGGTAGGCAACCTTGGCTCTTTTATGACTCGTGGACTTCAATTCCCAGAATTCCTGAGCCAGCATAGCTGATTCAGGAATTCTGGGAGTTGAAGTCCACGAGTCATAAAAGAGCCGAGGTTGCCTACCCCTGGTATAGCCCAAACTGTCACAAGAAGACGTGCTGGGATTCCAGTCCCCAAACCTGGCTGGGAATTCTGGGAACGGAAGTCCCATTTGGAGAGGTCCAGGATGGAAAAGACTGGCCTGGAGAATGCATCCAGAGTACCCTTCGTTCTCCTAACCTAAATGATAAGAAATATTTTCTGATGGGGGATTTCCGGTTAAGAAAGCAACCTGAGCTCATCATCGCTTCCTAACAATAAGGCCACTTAGGCATCCTCAGCCTCCGTTACCGGAAGAGGCTCAAGAGGAAAAGGGGCAGCTGGGGACGCCCTGAACTATTTCGTGCTCACCTGTCCGCTTACCGGAGCTGCGCGCCAGGATGGAAAGAACCACAACCCGTAACAGGAGGCGGCAGCCATGATGGGGCCATTCGGAAGCCGTTTTCGTCTCTCCCGCCATAACTTCCCCTCCTGTCTCTCTCTCACCCGCCCCCCATTGTAAAATAACCCTCTCCTCCGCGGTGACCCCTGCAGCCTATCGGAGAGCAAGAGCCACGGCGGCACGCCCTTCAGCTCAGCGCGAGAGTTTAACGGCATCGCCCAATTACAAGCCGCTTGACAAGGGAGGGCGGACGAATAAGGCCGGGCTTAGAATCCGTCTTGCCAACGGTCGCGTTGACTGAAGTGACAGCGAACCAATCAACGATCAGAGTTGAGGCTCTTGTGAGGTAACGCCTCTCGACACTGACATGCGGCGAAATTGATATACAAACTTGGCCCTTTTATGACTTGTGGACTTCAACTCTGGCTGAGGAATTCTGGGAGTTGAAGTTCACAAGTCATAAAAGGGCCATGTTTGAAGATCCCTAATATACAGTACGTCCACTCAACCAGAGCATCAAGCTTCTCGCCATTAACTAAACCCATTCTCTCGCCCCAATTGGTTGGAAGCTGACAACTTTCAACCAATCGAAGAGACAGAATTGAGAAGCGTGACCAAAAAAACCCCCACCTTTTTTCTTCAGACGGAAATGGCAATATTTTAGCAGGCGAAGCGTGGGGGTGGAGTGGTGACTTAACCAACAATTCTCTTAACAACCAACGAGTGTCTTGCACTAGCAACAATCTCCCGAATGACAGGCTGCAACTGGAGCTCGTTGGGAAGGGTGGGAAACCAGAGTGAAGGAGTACTGCTGTTTTTGTGGGATTCGGATTATACAGTAGAGTTCAGAGACAATTATTGTCCACAATTTCCCCTCTGATTTCTCACAGAACGGGGAAATCATGTGCAATATAGTAGGCGCAGTGACTTTTAAAAAAATGTTATTACGAGTTTGGAAAACTCCAGAAAAATAAACCAGCTAGAAAAGAAATAGAAAAAGAAAAGTTAAAAAAAGTTCACAAAATTAATTAAAAGTTAGCTGTTAATGATACGTTGATGCAGTCAAAATCCATCCTTGAAATGCTGTCACTGGCCTATCAAACTGATGTTGCTAAAATTAAGGCCTTTGTTTCAGTGAAGGTCTGATGTAAAATCTCTGCTGGAAAAAAATGTTGGACTTTTTACATTTTAAACCTTATAAACGTGAGCTCTATTTTACAAATAGTGTTGCAGTGGGATTTTAATAGTGCCACTGACTTTCCCCATTAGTGCCAATTTACATTAGCAAGTTTTCTTTCGGCCTCCCATCTCTCAGTATCATTCTGATGCCTCCTGACCTCTAGATAGAATTCACTCTTGGTTAAATGTAGCCAAGTTACACCAACTGAAATTACTATGACAACCATTGCCATCTTTATTTTCTAGAATGCAGTTAGAACCCAATACACTGTAATTCTGTGGTGCTCGGTTTTTAAAAGTGTTTGTTTTTAACCGGAGATAACAATTTGTTCTAGGGTTTCTGGAGCATGTAAGTTAACCATTTGACCAACCATACAGGGTGCAACTGCCAAGCTGTGGGTCATGGGTTATAACCTGATTTATAAAGATCTAATCCTTCATATTTGCATTACATTTATTTCACTTCAGATGAGTTTATTTGGTGGTGCCAGAAACGAACATTGCCAGAAATTTTGTTGGTCCTTGCTACAGAAAAGGAAATAATGATCAACTACAGTAGAAGATCTTTCTGATCTAGACCTACCTTTGTGAGTGACCTTTTGTCATGATATAAGTGTAAGGACCCACCCCACTTTGCATCTTAAGAAGACAGAACTTCTGGAATATCTCTTCCAACAGGCATCTTTATTAAGAGAAAGCTGGATGCAGGCGTTCTAGACAGGACTTGGGTCCAAGCTCTCCCATTCAAGGTTTTAAGGGATCCCCCATTAGCCACACCCCATCACCCCCTTCTCCCAGTGACAATCCCAGGCATTACATTCTCACCCCCTTTTCCTCACTGCCGGGAGGAGACTTCAAAAAGGATTACATGAAAGCTAATGACCCCCATTGTTATTGTTAGTCCGTTTGGTGATATCCACATCCAGTCCCTTTGAAGTAGGCTGAAGGAAGTGAGGGCCATAAAGCCCCTTTGTTCACCCCCTTCCCTTCATCGTATGACAGAATCCAGAACAGGCAGAAATGCGGGTTTTCATAGTTGATAACTAGAGATGGAATATATTTGGATTCTGACAATAAGTCTCTTACAAGCAAAAATACTGATTCTCTCTTCAGGGAAATTTCCTTGTATTTCACAATATCATATTTTCTCTGAGGTTGGTAAAAAGCTAGCACCTCTAATGATCTCCTATCTTGGCCAGAAGGAACTGATTCCTACATTACTACCTGCCTGCTCTTAAGCCAGGAAGAGGAAAAGGAAGGACCCTTATATTTTATTCAAGATGTGAGAGCTTTTAACTGTTATATAATTTCATTCTCTGGTTCCAAAGCTTAATGCTTCAGCTTCTATCCCTGCTGATGCTACTCATTTCACTGTTACAGAGCCCATTCTTTTTTCTTGTCTCTGAAATAAAATTGGAAAAGGGTATGCCAGGTATTCTCTTTGTTCTTTTCATTGTGTTATGAAATCTTTTGTGTTCCAGAGGTATACTCCATTCAAGTTAAGCTCATTAGAGCCTGTAAATTACCCACTAGAGAAATGTTACTATTTTTAGTGACTCTGAATATGCTCATGGGCATTGCTGTTCCTTTGATGTTATTTAAAAAAAAATTGCTAACTTTGGCTGAAACATTCACCTTCCATACTTCTTTTATTCATGTTTTATTGTTTTATTATCACTTTCTGAGGTTGCTATAGTCTTATGTATAGCACATCAACATGATTTTTCTTGTTACTAATGGGAAGAGATATGTTGGCATTTCAGTTTGCACAGTTACATTAAGAAGCCCATTACTACCAGAATTTTGGAAGCAATTCAGCAAACCGAGGACATAGGTCAAATCTTGCCTTCTTTTGGTGATCTAAAAATATAACAGAAAGGGATCCAACCAAGTGAGTAGTAGTTAAGTGAGGTGCAACAGGGGCCTCAGGACTGGAAGCACCAAGCTGGGCAACTAGTTGCCCCAAGGCAACTAGTAAAACACTTTGTATTTTTCATCAGCTTATTAATGCAAATTTATTTATTTTTATCTCATTATTTTTTATTATTTTTATAAATATTATTGATAATAAATCATTTTTATTATTTTTATGGAGAACTCAAGGCGGTGAACATACCTAATATTCCTTCTTCTTTTACAGGCAGTCCTCAACTTACAACAGTAAAGTTATAACGGCACAGAAAAAAGTGACATGACCGTTTTTCACACTTATGATCGTTTTAGCATCCCCATGGTCACATGATTAAAATTCAGATGCTTGGCAGCTGGTTCATATTTATGATGGTTGCAGTATCCTAGGTTCATGTGATCATCTTTTGTGACCTTCTAACAAGCAAAATAATGAGAAAACCAGATTCACTTAATAAACATGTTACTAACTTAACAAATGGAATGATTCACTTAACAGTTGTGGCAAGAAAAGTCGCAAAATGGGGCAAACTCTCCTAACAAATGTTTCACTTAGCAACATACATTTTGGGCTCAATTGTGGCCGTAACTCGAGGACTACTTGTATTTTCCCCACAACTACAACCCTGTGAGGGATTCGGCTGAGAGAGAGTGACTGGCCCAAATTCACACCGCCAGCTTTTATGCCTAAGGCAGAACTAGAATTCACAATTTCCTAGTTTCTAACCAGGTGCCTTAACCACTAGATCAAATTGCCTCTTGCTAAGGGGCGGGGGTTTATAATTTGTAATATTTATCTGGTATGCTTTTGTCCATCAGGAAGCTCAAATTATATTATGTTTGTTAATTACACAATGTGGATCTGGGGGAATCAACAAAGCCCACAGCCAAATCATAGTTGCAAAGTCTGCAGCAGGCATGTCCAACCTTTTGGTTTGCCTGGGCCAGATTGAGTGAAGAGGAATTGTCTTGAGCCACATATAAAATATATAATATGGTTAATGTGTATAAATCACATTATAATATTAAAAGCTTATGATCTTGTGAAGCCACATTACTAGCTGTCCGGGGTCACATGCAGCCTGTGGGCTGTGGGTTGGACATGCCTGGTCTACAGTATTCAAATCCTTGAAAATGGATTGTGCTGAGCTCCCTAAGTCAAAAGGGTTTTGTTACTTGCTAGATATTTTGTGTATCTTTTCAGGATGTATGGACGCTTACCTCTGACATTGGAACAATGCCATTACTGTAATGAAGAAAAATGTTGACAGATTTTATTCCAAGTTGCAGGAGAAGTGGGTTTCTCTCTTCGCTACAGTAGTGCAGTAAAATATCTACACAGCAATAGGGATTAAATTTCAATTTCACATGTCTTATTTTATCCAGCAAACATGGAACCAGGATATTAAAAACCACTTGGTCAAGGCAGTGGCTGATACAAGTCTCTCCTAGCCAAAAGTCCTTCCCTTTGTTCTTATAGCAGTTTGAATGGCTCCCAATTGCAAGCACGGTCTCTCTCCATTTGAGATTATTATTGACTAGCACATACCAGGATCTCTAAAGTGGTTGCTGACATCCTGAGATCTAATATTTTAATGAAGAACTAGCACAATGATTAATTAATTGTAACTGTAATAAAGTATGAAGAGGGCTTATAAACCGCCCGTCTTCCAAATTGTTGCATCATGGCCTCTAGTGTTAAACTTGTCAATAAATAATAAATATGCTTCAATGTAGCTGCTTCTTAAGCTCTGATTTAAAGTGCTCCTAAGACAAAAAATATTATCGTTCATTTGCGTGCATGAATGACTGCCATCTCATTTTACATTGATTCACAATACTACCAGCTACTTTTAAAGAGGAACTAGTTCACATATTTTTGACTGATTTTATTCTGACTCAGTGCTCTCCAAAGGTAGGAAAATAAGATGATTTTTAAAAACCACTGTTGAAGGGAGAAAAGGATATACAGGGCTGCAATTTTAAAGCATCCAGTTAGCAAAAAAG